CAGGAGCTCGGCAGGCGCAGAGGGAACAGAGTGTGCAAAGGCTCAGAGGCAAGCAGAATGGGACATGCGCAGGGAGAGGACAGCCAAGTCAGGTGCGCTTGGTCCTTTGGGGGAAGAGGGGGCCCAGGACGGCTTCTCAGGGGCTAGCCTTTACCTCCACAAGAGGCAGGCCCCCCAGCTAGGGTCTCTGTGGCTCTAAGGGCTGGACCCCAGAACAGGCCATGCGGGGGTCACCATGGGGTCTCCAGGCCAAGGCCTCGCTCTGCCCTTTAGGACCCAGCTCTGTGACGTTCTTTGCAATCTGAGGTCTGCTTCCCCGGGGCTCCCTCTTGAACCTGGACATGTGCTCCTGCATCACCGGTGTGGCCCCAAAAGAGGACAGCCACGGTATGGGCTGGACCCCCGTGCGGGGTAATCTGTGCGTCCTGCTCCGTATGAACTCAGCTTCCTAAACCTGTTTGTCTGAGATTACTGCCTGGCTCGTGGTCGGCAGCTGTCCCTGGCACAAACGACTAGTTTCTTAGCCAGACGCCCAACTGACCTGGCTCCCAGCGCGGCCACCACCCAGTCCTGCACCTAAGACCGGTGGGGGGTTGCAGCATTAATAGGCTTCTGTTTCCCCTGCTGGCCAATGTCCTGTCCTGTTTCCCACTGTGACACTTGAAAGGGTCGGTCGACACAGGGCACAGTGGGGGGGGAGCCGGCCCCCTTCTGAGCCCAGGTCCCTTCCCACGTCCAGGGGAGCGCTGACTGCTCTGCGGGACGCCTGGTAAATATTTTGAGCCCCATCCCGCCTCCCCAGCCCGGCAGATCTCCTGCTGGGGACGCCCTCTGCCAGGCACCCTCGGCGCGGCCCTCCGAGCCCAGGCCTATGCGAGTTCCGCTGCTGGGGTGCGCTCTGCCCGGCCCTCGGGACCCCCTTCACGGTTCCTGTTGCTTTGCCTTTAGCTTCAAGGGCTCTGTGAGCTGTGTTCAGACTCAGGCCGGGCTGCGGGCCCCGCCATAGGGCACCAGGGGACAGAAAAGACAGTGGGTGACAGAGTCAAGAGGAAGCATGGCTCAGGCGAGGGCAGGATGACCGGCGTTTGTCCTGGGGGAGGCGGGACCCTCTGGGGTCAGAGAACTGTGCTGCCCACATTCCGGGCTGTGGCTAGGGTGGAGGGAGAAGGGATTCGGGCTGCCCCAGAGGGTCTGCTCCTTCCGGGGGGAGTGGCTGGCGCCATCTCTGGGCTCCAGGGAGGACCCCCTCCTGCTGGCGGGGGGCGGGGAGGGAATGGGGCCACAGACCCAGGGGGACTGTGATGTGGGTGTCCCAGGGGAAGGGGCAGGGCTGTGGGCCCGAGTCCCTCCCTCACCTGAGGCCCCTGGTTCTCCAAGGGCTGCTCTTCGGCCTCCCTCTGTCCCCTGGGAAGCCCGAGCAGAAACCCGAGACAGCCGGGCCTCTGTTCATGCTGCCGCGGTGGGGCCCAGGCCTCTCCCTCCAGCCCTCCTTCCTCCTCCTCGGTTGTCATGGGGACGGCCGACCAGGCCGGTCCTCCTCTGTGCACCTGGCTGGGCAGCCCCTGGGCTCACACACCTGGGCAGCTCCGGCCCCGAGAGGGGTGGCGCCTGGAGGGCCCTCTATGCTTTCGTTTTGAGGGGGCCCCCTCCCCACCCCACTCCTGCTTGGACCCTGCGTTCTGGGAAACCCTGTGGCAGTTTCCTCTGACCTCTGTTAACCCGGAGTCCGTGGCCCACAGAGAGAGGCCGGCTTCCGCCTCTGACCTGAGGCTTCCTGCCCAGCACATACCTCCGCCCCGAGGGCTGGCTGAGCACACTGCTCTGGACTCCCCACCTTCCAGAAGGTTCCGGGGCCCCTCTGCCCACATCCCTCCTGCCGCACCGGGCCCCAGGCTCCGGCCACCAGAAGTCCACTGGCTGGGGCACAGAGGCCTCTGCCTCTTGGGGCATTGAACTGGGGTGGGGTTTAGAGCTGGATTGTCCTTGGGGCGCTGTGGGGGCGGGGAAGCACCCCTGGCCCCACCCCCTCAACACCAGGAGCTCTCCAGTGCAACCACCACAGAGGTCCCCAGACAGGACTGTGTCCCCTGCGGGGCAAGTCGGCCCCAGGTGAGACCCTGGATTGGGGGTTCCAGCAACCCCCCAGGTCACTGCCTTCCACGGTCATCTGACTGCAGAGGTCCTGGGAGCTGCACACATTTAAAGGCGAACACTGGGGGCGTCTGGAGCACGGGGCTCTTGACCTCCAGAGCTCGAGCCCCATGTGGAGCTTAAACACACACACTGAGTCGGGGAGAGGGGGTGACTCACAGACACCAGGGTCACCTGGGCTGTACCCCCGACCCCTGGGGATTTACTCCGGTGTCTAGTGTGTACAGAGTTCCCCCCACCCCACTGCCGCCACGGGGAATCCTTCTCTGCGGGGCCACCCAGGATGCGGTGGGGGCTGAGTAGCACCCCTGGCCCCCATCCACCACAGGCCAGGAGCCCCCATGGTGACCACCACAGATGTCCCGGACATGGCCCTGCGTCCCCAGGTAAGGCCCAGCGGGCGGACAGCCCGAGCGGACACAGAGCGGAGCAGAGCTGGGCCTGTACTGTGCAGTCCTGGCCACGCGTGGCCCCTGGGCCCCGAGGTGTGACCACGCCGGCCTGAGAGGTGCTGTGAGGACAAAAAACACGCCCGATTCCAAAGGCTCCGTGGAAGAAGAAACACAAAAGAACCTACAAGACCACACCGCTCATCTCTCGTGTCGGTTACAAAATAAAAGCGTGGTAATTTGCTGCTACCGGGGCGAATAAAACATACCATCAGGTTACGTTCCCCGATCGTTCCCTGGCCTAGACGTGGCTGCCGGGAGGTCAGGCTGGGGCTGGCACGGCGTGCTGTGACCTTGCCCGGGTCTGCAGGCCTGTGCCCTGCGGAAAGGGAGCGCGGGCCCACACAGTGCAGGTGGGCTTTCCTGGGAGGGCCAGGGGCCCCAGCGGGCCATCCGGATCCTGCCCTCCGGGGACGCAGGGAGCAGGATGAGAAAGGCTGGTGCAGACGGAGAACCCATCCGCTGCACAAGACTGCGGGGCTCTAACGCCTTCGCTGGTTGGTTGCTTGGACAGAGGGCAGAAAGGGGGGGTGCCCTGGGTCACAGGTGTGTTTGCAGGGGCCCCCGAACGTGGAGGCAGGGGGGCTCCCTTGGGGCTCTCATACTTGATGGTGTCATGATTCTTCAAGAAGAGCCGAGAAACCTCAACGTGGCCACACAAAACGCTCCCTCTCTCCCAAGGGCCACCTTGTGCCCTGACCCCCAGGTCAGGAGACCTCAAAACCACCAGCTCCTACAGGACTCCCGAGAAGCCTTGCCCCCTCGCCGAGGAGTCCCCGCCATCAAGTCTGGCCGGCGGAGAGCCCGGCGTGTGCAGGAGATGGCAGTGGGGAGGAGACCCCGGGAGGCACTGGCCTTGGTCCCCGAGGCTCTCCCAAGCCCCTGGCTTCCCAGGAGCCTGGTCTGGGGCAGACATGGAAGAGAAAGACCCACTCTCTGCAGTCCGGCCCTGCAGCAGCGCGGAGCGGAAGCCTTAGGGTGGCACCCAGACCTTTCTGGGGTCCTGAGCCTGGAGATATCCTGCTTTGGGATTGGCCTCCCCATCGATTCCCAATCTTCCCCGAGCCCTCAGGACCCAGCCACCATGGTCTCTCACTCCTTGAAAATGGCAGCCCGTTACTGGAGGCTCAGCGGCTGTGGCTAGGCGTGGGTGGGACAGGCCCCAACATGTGGCCCATCCTGGTGGCTCGCGCTGGACCCCACCGCCCAGATGCTGACCCACCTTCCCGGCCCCACAGAGGGACAGCGGCAGACTTCAGGATCTTCTTTATTCTCCTCTCAACCAGGTGAGACTTTGGGGACTAGCAGTGGTGGAAACCTGGGAAGCTGCCGCAAGGAGCCAGCAACTTGTCTCTTCTTTGGCGTCCACAGGAAACAAGGCAGGAGACTAGAAGGGCCGCCTCCAGAAACAGAGCAGCTGGACCCCGTGACCTGTCACGGTGTCCAGGGAGTGGCTCCCCCGTCTCCAGAGGTGGCCCTGCTTTCCAGCCGCAGTGGCCCAGCCCTGGGTCCTGGGCCATGTGCATGACCCGATGGACACAGGAACCGGGACCACCACACCCTCACCGTTTCCCTGCCCGGCAGCTGTGGCTGGACGGCTGGAGGGCCTGAGGGATGCGTCCTGGGCGAGCAGAGGGGGCGTGAAGAGCCACGGCCTGCAGGCGCGGGGACGGCGCAGGCTCACTGGTGGGTCTGCGGGGCTTCTCCACCACACGGACAGCCTGGAAGCCCGCTGCTTCCTTTCTGCCAAGTGCCAGCTCAGCACCTGCCACTGAGAGCCAGGAGGGTGGCCCGGGCAGCAGAGGAGGTGGTGAGCAGGTCCCTCCTGGGGGCACGTGACAGGCGGGTCAGTGGCGTGACAAGACGGGGTCAGGGAGTGGACCCCATGACCAGCAATGGGCGCTAGGGCCCACCTGCAGGGGCGGGCGCCGGCGAGGGGGGCGACACAGGAGTGCGGGGCTGCGGCACCTCCCTTTCTCTGGTGAAAGACAGACACCGAGGTCTAGAGGGCCCCCCTGACGCTGCATCCCTTGGAAACAGAGCGAAGCCAGTTCCCGGCGCCTCCCTTACCCCATGATGCTGCCCCAGGTGGGCAGGGGGCTCATGGGGAGCTCTCCCGGCCTGGGGCTAAGCCAGAGGCTCATCCCCCGTCCCCCCGCGACAAACGGAACAAAGAGTACACTGGGCACGGTTTGCATTTTCTTTCCCTGTTTTGTTTTAACCCTAAGAAGCAGGTCTGAGAAGACCCCGCAAGCAGCGTCACCCGTCACCCTTCCCCGGGGACCAGAGGCCACACCAGCTGGGACAGGCGGGAGCAAGGCTCAGTGTCCCTGTGGCTGTGCGGGTGGCTCCGCAGACGGTGGAGGGAGAGGCGGGCCGGGGAGGGGAGGCACTGGCCTGGCCTGGGCGGGAGGGGCGGGGCGCGGGTGGGACGGCGGGCAGGTCACCCGCAGGACCCCATCAGACGGCCGTGCGCGTGGGCGTGCTGGGCTGCTTCAGCCGCAGCGTTTTACACAACCAGCCGGCAAAATCCACTTCTTCCACCTCGGACCGCTTGATGAAGGTGTGGCTCTGGAGGGAGGAGAGGCGCGTCAGGAAGGCCACGGCCCGCCCAGTGGAGCTCACGGGGGTGGCAGGTGAGGTGGGCTCGTCAGCCCTGGTCACGCTCTGAGGGGGACGGCACTGTCCCCGGCCCCTTGACGCCCAGAGCACCCCCGTTGTGAAGCCCGCAAGGTCCCCAGACACCACCCGCTGTCCCCCACAGTCGCCCCTGGGAGAGAACACCGGATCTGGAAGGAGAGAAGCGTCTGCGAGGACAGTAAGTCCCCAACACGTTCTGTCTGGTGCGGCAGCCACGGGCCATGAGAGCCTCCCAAGACCCTGACACTGGGCTCCCGGGGCTGAACAGAACTCGGCATTCTGTTTCGTTTCCAGAACTGTGAGAGCCACATGAGGCCGGTGGCAACTGCACAGGACGGGACACTGGAAGCTCCCTCCTGAAGGCTGGGGGGCATGAGCAAGGCTGTCCCCAAGGGCGTGCAGGGCAGGGGCGGCTCTGGGGGCTTGGGGGGCACGGGAGGGGTGCAGGCCTCCACGAAACGCCCAGCTGGGTGGCAGGACTCCCACGGTCTGGGGCAGCAGGCCCCACAGTAAGTGGTTTAAGTTGGGGCAGAGAGACCGGGGTGCCCTATGGGGACCTCAATACTAGGAGCTCGTCTAGATCACTTATCTGTACACCTTACACCTGACACATATTAATGACGTCACACGTGCCTGTAACACGTATAACTGGAACTCTCTGCTGGAACTGGGGCACACAGACCCTTCCCACGTGGTGCCCTTGGTGGCGCCCATGACCAGGAGACACTGGCTGTCACCGAAACTAACAGACGAGGCAAGACTGGACGAGGTGCCTGGGGACACCTCACAGGAGGTGCCAAAGCAGAGACCCCAGGATGGGGACAAGCCAGCTAAGAGGGCCACAGGAGGTGTCCCCTGGGGAGCAGGACTGTCCTGTGCAAAGGCCCTGAGGTGGAGACTCTGTAAAGGAGGCAGGAAGGCCGAGACTCCCTTCCTGGAAAGGCTGCGTCCTGACACTGAATAGAAGGCTCACGTTCTGCCGCGCCACAACGGGGGCCCAGCGCCCGGGACTCACACGGTCTCCCGTTGTGGAGGTGGGTGAAGGGCGGGCTGCCGCAGGCGTGGCAGGGCCGTGGGGATGAGAGCAGGCAGTGGAGGGGACTGAATGCGCTAGTGGACTCACTGCCCCATGTCCCCTGCCTTGCCAGGGGAAGGGGAGTTTCGACGCCCACCCTGGTTCTCAAGGACATCAGATGACAACCCTGGGACGGACAAGGAGGCTGGCAACCCTGGGTCTCCCCAGCCTGTGGGGCCCCACCAGCCCCAGGAACACCCCTGACCACGCCTCCAAGAGCCAAGAGCGCCAGGGCCGCTCTAGACCCGCCCACTAGTGGAGCCAGGAGACCACAGACAGGTGCTCTCTGGGGGGACACGCCGTGCAGGACGGCAGAGCCTCTCGAGGGCTGCCTGGGGTCTCTCCTCTCCCCGGGGCGAGCCAGTGCCCTGGGGTCACTTACCGTGAGCATCTTCAGATCTGCTCGCTCTGCTGGGTTCTTTACTAGGCTGGAGAGAAAGAGAGAGAACGGGGGAGACGACGCAGGGCAGTTAGCCAGCGGCCACGCGACCCCACATTCTGAGCCATGACAGGTCACCCCCGTCCCCGAGCCTGGCCCAGCTGAAGCCAGTTATGGCAAGGAGCAGGGGTGAGGACAGGACCCCTGGGGAGGAAAGGGCAAGGGTCTGACACCAGGACGAGAAGGAAGGGGAAAGGCTGTGGGGACCCCTGGCCACTGCTCAGTCTGAGGCCTAGCAGCAACAGCAAATAAATCCCCCTGATCTGGGAGTCTGAATGCCAAAATGGAACTTTTTCCTTTAAAAAAGCAGAACTGCTCCTGAAGACAGTTGCTCAAACCAGCCCGAAGTCAAACAGTGGCTGTTCAGAACCAAAAAAAATGCAAGGTGTAGAAAAACATTTACACACACCCCTGGTTCGTGCGGCAGTGTGCTCGCCAGTGGTGGCGCAAAGGGCCAGTGGTCCCTTCACCACCGGGAGTGGGTTTGCTACCGTGTGGGATGCAGTCCCCAGGCAGCAATGAGGCCGGCAGACTCCACCGCCCTGACCTGGAGGACTGCCCTCAAGGTGAGGGGGTGGCCCCAGGCCCCGTTCTACGCCAGAGCCTGCTCGCCCCAGGCCCATGCTGACGCACTGAGAACAGCTGGCCACTTGCCAGAACCCGACTTGGAAGGCTTGTTTGGAAGCTAGTGGGTTACAGGGCTCGAGGAATTAGGAAACTGGGATGCCTGCTGGCAGAAAGCAAGGCGGGAATGGCGTCATTTCCAAAGAGCCTGAAATCCTGGTTCTGGGCTTTGGGGACAGGATGGGGACAGCAGATGGACATCACGACTCAGCAGTCTTGGAAAGGGAACCTATCTGGGTTCTCAGGTGAGCTCCAGGTGCCCCCTGATGCCACCGCCCATGGGCAGTCCTGCCATTGATCCAGGAAGGGGGACCCGGCCCAGGACCAGGAAGGAAGTGTGCACCTGGGCCGGCGGCCGGGGTGTGGGAGCTGTCCCGGGAGGCAGGCGGGACCTCTGGCGGCATGGCATCCTGCCCTGGCCCGCCCGGAGACCACGCTGGGGGCGGTGGCACCTTACCATTTATTTACAAACTCCTGGAAATCCTGGGTGAAGACCCCACTGGGGAGCTTGGGAGGCGGCTGTGGGAGAGAGCAGAGAGGTGGGGGTTAGATGCTTGAAGAAGGTTCCAGAATCCTGGGGAGGTGCTTCTGGGCCTGAATCCATGAGGACAGCCCAGCACTTTTGGGGGGCCCTCAAAAGGCATCTCTCCTGGCCTTAGTCCCTTTCCCTTGCCAGAGGCGGAGCCCCCCCCCGACCCCTGTCTTCTGGCAGCTTCCACACAGGACCTGTTGCCCGTCTTGCCAATTTGGTCTCGGGCTCATCTGGGGTTCTCTTTGGAAAGTTCTGGTTTTGGGATCACAGCTGGTTCCAGGGGGTAGGAGAACAGGGCCCACCCATCTCCAGCTGGGGGTGTGGACCACTGGGGGAAGGGGTGGGGTATGAGGCAGCCGGTTCCAGAAGCCCAAGGAGCCTGGCCCCATGCGTATGTGCTGGGGTGGGCACAGCCGGGTGCAGGGGCAGGCCCCTGTCAGGGAAGGCAGTGGGCAGACTGCCCGGTGAAACCCGAGGGAACCCCTCCAGGCAGGGATGGGAGGTGGCGGCAGGCTCCCTGGGAGGACGGGCTTGCTGGGCCTAGGTGTGGCTGCAGGTGCAGGGCGAGCTGTGTCACCAGAGCCTGCCCGTCCTGTTCTGTCACGACCAGCCCTGCCCCAGGCCACTCACCCCACCACCCTATGCTAAGCCAGTGCCACACGCCATCCCCTTTCTCTGCCCTGACTCCAAAGGGCCCTTGGAAGCATACTTCGGCCCAAAGGAGGCCTAGGAGGGGCAACACGGCCAGGCGGGGAGGGCGGGCTTTGGGGACAGGTCCCACTCTGTCCCTTTCCAGCCGCAGGCCCGAGGCGGCTGCTCCCATCCTGCGATGTCTACGATGGAAACAACCCCACTACCAGCTTACGCGGTGGTGAGGAAGATCTGGGGGGTCGGGCCCGCCATGCCTCCTGCCCCGAGCTTCCCCTGGGGAAGGGGGTCATTTGTGACTGTGCGTGCAAGGACTCCGAGATGCGTGGAGAGCTCCCAGGGGTGGGGGGCAGCTCGGGCCGGGGGTGGGGGGTGTTCCGCAGCAGGACTATGGGGTTGTCTTACTCCCTCCATCCCCACACGTGCACACACACACGCACACACACGGGCACGTGAGCTCCTCCTGGGAAGTGGCGGACTCGTGTGGCACAGCAGGAAGGCTGCACTCCTACCCCCGACGACTGGCCATCGGGAGGTCCTGCCCGTCCCGACTCCTCCCCAACGCAGTCCGGTTTCCGTGCAGCTCTGGGTAACGACTTCCTAGTCCAAAGGCTTCACCCGCCCGCATGAAGACAAGCCAGAGGGGCCTCAGGTACGCACCTCATTCACAATATAGTCCAGCAGCTCGAAGATGGCCATGGCAGGCCGGCTATCTGTCCCGTGACCTGCGTGGGCCAAGACAAAACCAGGGTGAGGCAGGCGTCAGCGGAGTATCCTGCCCCTGACACTGGCCCAGAGCAGGGGAGGAGGCCTGGCGGGCTCCCTGCTGCTAGGCTCGCTTTCTGGGGAAAGCGGCTTCTCTCTGAGCCTCCGGTGAATTAACAAAACAAAACAAAGCAAAATGCCAACATGAACAGGAGCATTTTTTGAGAAGTCACACATTTGGCACGGTGCTGCTTCCAGGCTGTGCCAAAGTCACAAGCCCTGCCGTGCAGCTCCTGGGGAGGCTGTGCGGGTGGCGCTGACCAGCAGCAAGGCTGGCGGCATGACCTTGCGCAGAGCCGCGGGTGAGGGCAGCGTCAGGCCCCAAGTGCTGTCCGGACTGGACGGCCAGCGGAGGGTAGCTGACCCCTGTCTTCGACCCAGCTGGACTTTCGCCTTCTGTCCCCTGTCCTGAAACGGGCATGAGGGCCGGGGCTGGGGGAGGTGCTGGCAGGCCAAGGTGGCCTGGCACGGCCCGCTACTCCTCCCTGCTGGGACAGGGCCACAGCTGAACACCCACGATGCCATCTGGGAGTTGGTGCTGGGAGGGACAGGGCCAGGGCCCGGGGACACAGATGGCAGTGGGGGTGGGGTGGGGTTTCTCCCCTTGGAGAAAATCAAGACACCCCAGCGGTGAGGGTCTGTCCCTAAAAAAGGAGGAGCTGGGCATAAAAATACTGTGAAAGCTGCTGTCGGATGGCCCCGTCCGTGAGCCGCAAAGACAACGCGGTCCACTACACTGGGACACACGGCTGCAAACAGGAGCAAAGTTTTGACCCGTGCCGTCCCGGGGACAGACCCTGAGCCCACGACACGCAGGGAGGGAACCAGACACAGAAGGCCCCATGGAGTGTGAGCCCACACATGCGACATGCCCAGACTAGGCCCCTCCACAGACAGGAAGGTGGGTCGTGGGGGCCGGGGGAGGAGATGCGAGTGGGTAAGGGGCTTCTTTTGGGGGTGATGGAACGTTCTGAAACTAGACACTGGTTATGCCGGCACAACCTTGTGAAGACACAGAATTCCACGAACCGTACACCTTCCACAAGTGAGGCCTGGGGAGCATGAGGCCTAAGGGCTCCACAAAGCTGGCAGCAAACACGCCCAGCTGCGCTCGGCCGCACGCTCCCTTGGCCTCGCTCAACTCCCTTCCTGTCACTTGACTTCAAAAATGGAAATCAGAGTCCGAAGCGCTGTTTCGTAATTACGCTGCGTCCACCGTAACCCTTACTCTCCCCACCTCCAGAATGTGCCCGGCGGAGCCCCCACCTCCCGGGGGATTGTGCTGGCCTGCAGAGTCCCCCAAAGCCCCCGGCCTCTTGTCCCCTCCCACGCTGTGTGTCAGGACCGAATCGGACACGCCGCCCAAGGAAATTCTGAGCCATCGCTTCCGGGTTCTGCAAGGCCCGGCCCCACACAGCAGAACGCGTGCCGTGCGGCGGGCACGCAGGTGGCTCGTGGGGCCATCCTCGTGCGATGAAATGCCGGAAAACCCGCCAACCAGCAGCCCGGCTGAGGTCGTTCCAGAACAACTGCCCCCCCCCCCGCCCCCTAGGCTGGCCACAACCCGCGCAGCTGCCTTAGATGGCAGCAGCCTGGGGAACCGTCCCCAGAAGCCTCAGGACCACCCGGGGACGCTGAGCACAGTTAGCGCGACCGGGGACAGCTGGTGCTGAGCGGGGCCGGAGCAGAGGCAGCTGCCGCCCCGCGCACGGCACTCCCCATGTGCGGCTCGCGGCCTGCCCCAGCCCGAAGTTCCAGAGTCAGGCCGTACCGCTGATGGGGCGTCCGGGGGGTCTCGGCCGCGGCGAGATGCTGTGAGGCTCTCCTTCTACCCCGTCCACCACGGGCCGGCCAAATATGGCCTCCAGCTCCTTGGCGTCTGGCGGGGGGATGGGGTACCTTCCGATGGACAGCTCCACCAGGGACAGCCCCATGCTCCAGATGTCTGACTGCACGGAGTAGTGCGTGCCCTGCAGCCGCTCCGGCTGTCGGCGAGAGAGCAGAGAGACGCCCGATGGGCGCTGGGACCTGGGAGCGCGCGTGGCGCTCCTCCTGCAGCCCCATCCGGGCCTGGGCCACCCTCCAGAGACCCAGCCACGGAGAGAGAGCGCGACTCCCTCTCCTCCCTGCCCCTGCAGCGGGACCACGACGCTCCCGGCCGGGGCTGACAACGGCGCTCAACAGCCAGACCTCCGGCCCTTTTGGAAAAGGGTGGCCGCCCCAGGAAAGGCAGAGGGGTGCCTTCTCTTCCACGACAATCCCAAGACTAGCTTCTCAGAGTCTGCTCCTGAGGTCACCCAGATGTTTCCTAAGCTATCTGGGGGGTAGACGCTTGGCCCAGAGGCTGCCTGACTGCTCTCCTGGACGGGGCTCTTCCTGTTAGCGGGAGGCACCGGGCGGGCACTTCCAGAGAGAGCCCGGCGTGAGCAGACAGCCACAGCGAGAATCTGGACGGAAAAGAGAAACCAAGCGGAAACGGCAAGTGTACTACGGAGAACTGCAGGCTTTGGAAAAGCTTCTGGAAAACAGAACAGCTGACAGGCCGGGGAGGATCCAGACCTCCTCACGCCACGACGGACTTACAGACATGTAGGACCGAGTTCCCACGAAGGAGTTGGCCATGGAGTCGATGAGCTGCCCGCTCACCCCAAAATCGCACAGCTTAATCTCCCCTCGGGAGTTGACGAGGATGTTGGAAGGTTTCACATCTACGGGCGGGGCCGGGCAGGTGAGGGGGGAGCCAGGCCTGCCTGCCAGCCCCGCCCAGCCCCCAGGCACCCCTGCCCGGCTCACCTCGGTGCATGATCTGGTGCTTTTCCCGGAGATACGCCAAACCCCGGAGAACCTGTGGGGGAGCCCCAGGCTGGGGTCAGCGGGGCAGCACCGTGGGCAGACCTAAGGGCCTGCTAGTCTGCTAGACCTAAGGCCCACGAGCTCAGGGAGGAGCCCCTGTTGAGGGGCGGGGGCAAGTGAGAAGAGCAGCAGGGACGGTCATACTGTCCCAGGTCAGCGGGCACACGCCCGGCTCACCCACCTGCACGCACGGCCCACTGGCCGGGCAGGCGCTCAGCAGAGACTGGCCAGGCCCAAGGCCCAGCAGGAGGGCCGCCCTGCCCCAACGGGGATCGTCTGGGGAGTGCTTCTGAGCTGGGTTTGCATGGAGGCCCTGCAGGCGGACGGCCATTTCACCAAGGGACAGTGGCACTGTGGGGTCCTATGCAGCTGGGGCCCTTGCCACTTGGGCCCTGGGCACCCCGACACCTGAATGGGGAAGGGAAGCATCACTCCCATTTTATAGGCCACAAGATGCCACTGGCCAGGCCTGCAAATGGCAGAGATGGGTGTGGGCTGCAGTCCCGGGCTTCCGGTGGCTGCTCTGACTCTGGCCACGTGGAAGGGGGTGGGGAGAATAAACCCGGGCAGAGCACTGGGCCAGAAGCATGCGCACGGCCCCCAGCACTTGCCTGGCCAGAGGGGCCGGAGCCACTTACCGCAATGCTGACCTTCCCCAGGATCTCCTCGGGAATTCTCTTGGCTTCTTTCAACACCTGGTCCAGGGAGCCACCATCCTAGGGTCAGCACAGAAAAAAAAAAAAGCCAGCCGTGCTGAGTGGGCGGCCGGGCAGGGCAGAGGATGGTCCCGAGAGGGACACTGGAGCAGCAGGTAGGAAGGTGAAGCATTTCCCCGGTTCCCGGCAAACTGAAGCCTGGCTTCCTCCACAGGAAACAGAGGCCAGACCACTGCCAAGTGCCACCCGCTGGCCCAGAGTGGGGCCTCCTTCAGGCCCCAGCAGCTCTGGGGTTCCCGAACAGCCCATCCAGTAAGGAAGGACAAGGGTGGCAGTACGCTCCCTCAGCAGCCTGGCCTTCCGGGAGCCCAGGCCTCTGACTCAGCTGGCCTTCCCAGGTTGCCACGGCAGCGGCGGGCGAGGCAGAGAGCCAGGCTGGCAACCGGAGCAACCACGAAGGCGCCAGAGCTCCACCGCCCGCTTCTGGGGCCTGGGTTCCAGTCCTGCCAGCCCGCGGCAGCCCCACTGCACCGGGGTCGGAGAGCTGGGAAAGGAGGCCAGGAGGCACCAGGGGAGGAAGAGGAGGAGGGAGTTGCTCCCCTGCCTCTGGCCAATAGGTCTGGTGCTGTGCTCCCTGCACAGGTCCTCCCGCTCAGCTCCCCACCCCAGGCCTGGCCTTAAATCCACAGGTTGCCTGACAGCAAATCTGGAGACCAAGCCCAGGCCAGGGTCCTCACTGGGCCCCCGGGATGCCAGGTGGACACGGCGGGGAGGGCCGGGGCCTGCTGTCTCCAGCACTTCTACCCCAGCCTTGCTCAGCTAGAAAGGCCAGCGGCGGGAGCTCTAGAACACCCAGTGCGCTGTGAAGCTTCTACAACCGGCACGGACTCCGGCCTAGCTTCTGCTGGGGGGGTGTGCACAGAGAGAGGCCGGGCCCCGGGAGAAACCCACGGGCCGGCCTTCCTGGGTCCGCTGCAGGACCAGCGGGAAGGCCTTCTAGGGTCAGCTCTCCCCTCTATCACCCGACCGTAAAAGCATACTGAAAAATTCCTAAACTAGGACCCTGCTTTGCAACACAGCTCCTTTCGCTCTGGACTTTTTCATGGAGCCGCGGCAGGTTTATAGATGAGGACGTCTGGGGAGAGCACCCCAGAAAGGCCACGGTAGGCCAGACGCCGTGCGGGGACCTCGTCAGCGGCTCTGACAGTTCGGGGAACGGACAATTCTGTCCTCTCTCTGGCTGCCGCTGCTTCACCCCATGCCCATGCCCACCACAGACGCCCGCAGACACGGCCCAGTGTCTGCTGGGGCAGGATCGCTTCCGGACGAGACCCCGGTCCACGCTGAGAAGACGGTAAGTTGCTCAAGTCATGCTGACAGGAAGTGGTGCAGGAGACAGCACAACTGAGTCCCTCTGACCCCAAATGTCACACCCTGTGCGGCATCACGCGCTTTCGTTTTGTGTGTGTTCTCAGTGTTCCGGGAACGGCGCTCTTACTAAGCAAGCGCCGCTCGAATACCGTCTTAGAAAAAGCTCAACTGTAGGTAGGGGCGGCCGGGTGGCTCCGCTGGGGCAGCGCCTGGCTCCCAGCTTCGGCTCCGGTCGTGATCTCAGGGTCGTGAGGTCAAGCCCCGCGTCAGGCTCTGTGCTCAGCGTGGAGCCTGCTGGAAACGCTGCCCCTTCCCCTGCTCACACTCTCTCCCCCTCTCTCTCGCTCAAAACAAAAGCAATTATAGGTAAGCGACACTCTCCTCTCCCTAAATTTCCACTCGCCTCCCCTGAAATGTGGCTTCCAGATCCTTCTGTGTATTTGCATACGCTCCCATATGCGCTAGAAAACACAGCGTTTAAAAACTGAACGGAAGTGGGCTCCCATTATGCGCATTTTCTCCCGCGGCACATAAGCACCATCTCCCCGCCTTGCTGGCAAGTGGCCCGGTACCCATCCTTACCCCTCCCCGGGCAGCGGGTGTGTGATTTTCACGGTCACAGAACAAGAGAGCACGTGCTTCAGACACGACCAGACGCCCAAATACCAAGAGGTACCGCTGGACGGGCAGCAAGCCGCCCCCCACATCCCCGGTCTGCAGGGTCTGCCCCGAGTTGTCGGTGACAGCCCCAGAAGCCGGCAGGTGCCGCCTGGAGAGCCCCCCCTCCTGTGCTGAGTCTGGGCTGCTCATCCCCCACTCGGGGTCTCTGCTCGCAAGCCGGGGCTGGAACCAACCCGTCGGGAACAGGAGCCGATTCACACCCAAACCTACATAGAGACGACGTCTCACCCTCTGCTCCCTGCTCCAGACTCTGCGGGAAGACTGGATCCCTCCACCCCGACCCCGGCCCCACGGGCAGGCACTGCCACCCCTCAGGTGGAGGTGGGGAGAACCTGGTCCCAAATCACGCCTTTGGGAGGTGGGCGATGAGTACAAGCCGACCCCAAGCTGTCCCGCAATGTGGCACATGAGCGAGCGTGGCAGGAATGTCCCGCACACTCAGAAAGGCCCTGGGCACACGGGGCGGTTTTGTGCACAGGTCACGTGACGTGGAAACACCACGAAGGCCAATGGGACAGCCTCCCCCTTCCGGTACGTTATGACCCGGTATTTTATGATGCGTCTGTTCTCACCCTTCCTTGCTGGCAGCGCCCCCTCCCAAAGGCTCATGGCTAACTTGCAAACTGCGGCATCGGAGCTCGGCGCGCTGCGCCGGTGCACACCTCACCTGACGGCGTCTTTGCCAGAGGGAGCCGCTGCCCTCCTCCTACACCCAGCAGGAAAGCTCACCGAGAAAATCCAACCAAGAATAAGCAGCGGATGGCCACGACACACCCCTGGGACCGCCAGCACCTCCCCCCGCCCCGCGTCACAGCAGCTCCTCCTCGTGCTGCTGGGGGCAGACGCCTCACGCAGGAAACCTCTGCTTAGGTTCACCGACAACTGAGGCAGAAGGCAGGCCAGGCTGAACCACTCCCCCTCCTCTATGAGGGCAAGAGGCACCTCTGAATTCCCAGTGCGTTCAGGGAAAACAGGGAGAGGAGGCAAAGGGCGCCCCTTGGACCACAAAGGGACGCCCGTCCCTTCTCGCGCTAGGTGCCTGTTTGCAGTGACCGCCAGGTGGGCGGCGGGTTTGACCTCCCTCTCCTTCTGCGCTGGGGTGCTGCCGGGCCAGGAGCCTGGGGGCCAGGTAGGGGCAGAGCGGGAGGGCGGGAAGTACCTTCTCCAAGGCAGGGTCACCCCACGCGGCTGCTCACAACGCACCCCTCCCGGCTGCTTGCTCAAACTCACTTCCTGCCCCTGTTACAACACCGTCAGGGAAGAGGGCGCTGTGCCTGCAAGGCGTAGCCAAAGCCCCCGGGCCCAAGGTCACCGCATCCTGGTTTTGCAAGGGCCCCAACGGGCGGGAGCCCCGACGGCCCGGCAGCAGGCAGCCCCGTACCGGACGGATCAGGCTCCCCCCAGGGCCCTCAGCGTTGACCACTTCTGCTTTCGTTATCCCCGATCCCACCCATTTCTGAGGTTCAAGACTAGCGTTTCTTAACAAGGGGGCTCATCAGAACCAGCAGGACGGTTTGAAACAAGATCAGTTCCCAGGTTCCACCCCAGAGCTCTGATTCCACAGACCCGAGCTGGGTGGCAAAGCTGGGTCTCACCCTGAACAGAGTGCGCAGATTGCTGCCCCCTGCTCCGGGGCCCCTGGCCCCAGCAACTCCGCCTCCGGGACCTCACCCCACCTCTGGCCCAAGGACATTCCTGCGCTGCTGCTCCCGACAGGGGGGAAACAACCTGTGTCCGCCACCCCAGTGGCGCTCGATGAACTACCTGACAGGCTCTCGCCGTGGCCGGGACATGGACCGTGGGGAAAGCGGCGTTGGCTGCCTGTGTGCCAGTGGGGAGCGGCTTCCACTAGGTATGCGGGCGGAGGCCAGGCTGCAAGGGGGGCGTCTTGTGCACACAGAACCGGGGACCTAGGTGTACACGGCCGCGCGGCACGGAGCGCCTCCAGGGACCGCTGGCAGCGGGCGCGCTCACCATGTGCTCCATGCAGATGCTGATCTCGCCGTCGCTGTAGAAGGCCCCGTAGAAGCCCACGATGTACGGAGAGTTACACTCGTGTAGCACCTGCAGCTCGCGGATGATCTGGTTCCGGATGGCCGGCTTGATCTCCAGGTGGATCAGCTGCGGGGGGGAAGTGAAGGGGGCTCACAACCAGGCTTCTAGGGGGCCCAGGAGGCGGCGGCTTTGGCCCCCGACCCTTAATGTGCTCACGGCAGCTTTCGACACTGTGCAATCCGCGCCGAGGCACTTACCTAGAGAACAAAAACCACACGTCCACACACCAACTCCTCCAACTGTGTCCACACAGCAGGACTCACAACAGCCAGCGTGTGGCAGCTGCCTAAGTGTTCCCCGCCAGGTGAAGAGATATGCGCGCGCCCACACCCACACACAGGCACGCCGCTCCACCGGGACAGGAGCGGGGCGCCCCACGCGCTACCCTGGGGGTGGGCCCCAAGCGCACGATGCTCAGGCAGGGAACCACCTGGAGGAGGCTCCCGGCTCCCCTTCCACCCGAGTTCAAGTCAGCGGAAGGGGGGCTCCCCCACGACATCCCGACGTTCACACGGGAAGAAACCGAGGACTGTCTGGAGAGATGCAGTCATGGCTGACAACGCCGACAGCCCGACAGGAAAGCGTCGAAGCCGGGGCTCCACGTCCGGGCCGCTTAGAATCCCAGCTGCTCCGACCATTGCAATAGGACAACAGAACGTTATTTCCACCTGCCTGTCAGGGGCGTCTGAACCTATCGCCAGAGGTCCCACATTTCATTGGAGCCCTGTGACAGGGAGAGGGAGCGGCAAAGACTTGCTCGAAGGGGACCCGCGCCTGGAAGGACAAGTGGGAGTTGGCCGGATGGATGTGGTGGCCAGTGGGGGGCAAAATGCTGACTGAGGCCACCAAGGCAGGAAGGGGTGTGCGTCAAGCTCAGGGAGGTACACAGTGTGTGTGGGGAGAAACACCTGCTCCCCGATGACTCCGGCCACCTTGAGAACAGCAGAAGGTCGTTGTGGGATGGTGCCTGGTACCTGTTGCCCCTCCCCGGCAAAGCTTCATGACTCCACTTGGGAAGGCTCTGGCCACAGGTTCCAGGCCCTGTGCTCCCCGCCACGGCCACCCCCAGTGGGACCTGGGGACGCTCTCTCCTCTGGGGGGACCGCACCTGTGACATGACATGCCAACAGGCACACACGAGATGCTGGTCTGAAAATGAAGTGTTGCCGTCTACGCGGAAGGCAGGAGGTCTGCTCTCAAAATCCCGGAAATTTTTGAGGCCGAAGGATGTGCCCCACAGGGTGACAGAGGCCAACATCAGCCACAGAAATGCAACCAGGCCTCGCGTTCAGTTGTAGACCCTCCGGCTGCCGCATCACCAGAGTGCAAAGAAAAAGAAGTGACTCTTTTCACGTATTTTAACTCAATGCAGCATATCAAAAAATGACTGTTTCAGGGGCTCCTGGGTGGCTCAGTGGGTTAAGCCTCTGCCTTCAGTTCAGGTCATGATCCCAGGGTCCAGGGATCGAGCCCTTCATCGGGCTCTCTGCTCAGTGGGGAGCCTGCTTCCCTTCCTCTCTCTCTGCCTGAGTCCAAAAAAAAAAAAAAAAAAAAAGACTGTTTCAACTTGCAATCCATGTAAAAAATATTCATGCAACGGTCCCATACTGAGTCTCTGAAACCTGGCGCCGTGGTTCTCTGCACAACAGAGAACCGGTCGGTCTAGCCGGACCGACCGCGTCTTGGGGACTCCATGCACACGGCTGACCGGGCTGGCCGCCATGGACACTGCAGCTCTCGGCCAAGAACTTCAAAGGAGCCACAGATGAGCGACTGAGCTGGGGAGCAAGAACTCCAGGCTTTGCACCAGAGGAAGGGGCGGACAAAGGTGGGCGGCACTGGACGGAAACCCAGAGGTCACAGGAGCCTGGAGTTGGGGCCTGGCATGGGAAGGACGGCCACCGGAAGTCAAGATGCTTCTGGGAAAGATGCAGGGAGGACGCAGGGGCTCATGGGCCACTTCCACCCGGGCCTGCAGGGTGGGCCTTCCAGGTCCCCAAAGAGCCACACTGAGAGCATATGGACAAAGAGCAGGCACAGGAAGGGGCACACTTCTGAGCACACATTTCCACAGCAACCTGGGTTGCAGGTTCTAGAGGCTCGATCCTGTTTCAGGGGCACGTGGCTGCCGAGCGGTCAAGCGTGTGTCAGGGCCGGGCTCCCGGATCACCCAAACCCATGCTCTCTCCACGCCACCCCCTGGGGTCATGCACGCTCCGGGAGCTGGTGACACAGGGACGGCGCAAGCCATTCAAACCCAACACCAGGCCCGTCCAGGAGTTTTGGCGACTTCTACGGCGGAATGGGGCTGCACACAAGAAAGAGAAGGGAAGACATTCTGGAGGCAAAACGCTGACAGCTTCCTCCAGGCCCAACAGGAAAGGGCAGGCCCGAGAGGGCTCACACCCAACTCGGACGCCGACCCACCTTGGCCCGTTTCCTTGTGTGTAAAATGGAGCTTTTGCTCCCCGGAGACCAGAACAGGACACCAGCTCTGCCGCGCAGCAGCCACTCGAAGGATGGCAGCCAGGACCACGACGCGGCCTCGCAGGGGCCACAGACCCCCATCAGAGGCAAGCAAGCGCTCGGGGCCCACACAAATGCGATGCCCAAACAGGCTCCTCTGCCCGAGTTCTGGGGAGCCCAGGAGAGCACGTGCCCAACACACACCCTAATTCATCCTATGGCTCCCGGGGCCCGGGCAACGCAGAGGTCTTGCCCCAGGGCTCGCAGAAGGATGCAGGAGTCAGAACACAACGTGTGAGTCAAGAACACACTTTCTATCGCATGTGATTGTAAACCTCAAGACCAGTTCCCTTGGCGCTTACAGGACTGCTCTCCCTGCTCTCTCCCAGCAGGTCATACTGGATAGGAAAACCCTCTGCCGATCCAAGGGGCCACAGGGATGCTGGCAGCAAACGGTGCTGCGCGGGGAGAAGCCCCGCCCCAGGCTGTTTCTGGAGATCTGGTGACCTTATGTCCTCACAAAGCCATACGCAGCACCCGTTGGTGCCCCTGGTGACCGCTCAGCTGGCCTGCGGGCTCTCCGAGGTCCCCAATGCCGACCTGGGCCAGCACGCTGTTCGCAGGGTCCCCCCTCCCCACCAGCCGTGGAATCTCACATCTGCCTTTCTATCCCTGTTCACGGGGTGACAGCAGACCCGAGATTTCTGGGGTCTCCAGCTCAGCAAAGGCTGCCTGCGTGGAGGGGGCAGAGCCAGGTCTCGGAGGGCTGGCGTGCTCCAGGGGCAGGAGAAACAGGCCAGGGGTCAGCCAGCCAGCGCAGCGCTCCCGGGAAAGGCAGGACAGCGGGCACCACGGAGGCATGGGGTGCCCGGGTTTCTGAGCATGCGAAATAGGACCTACGGGGGAGGGGATTCCAGAAGAGGTGATTTTCCCTGCCTGAGAGAACGTGCCTACAGGAGCAGAATAATTTGTCACACAAAGTCCCCTGGTTATGTGAGCCACTATCCCCAAAGGGTCACATCCTCCTCTTCTCCACCCATCCAGCTTGCAGGAAGGACTCTAGACCGCTCAGCTAGGAGGGTGAGGGCGCCAGTCTAGAACGATCCGGACGTTTCTGAGCACGGGAGTTTAAGTTCTGGAAGGCAGAAGTCAGGGGCGGAACGGAAGAGATGCTCAAGGCAGAGGGGCACTGCCATGTCCTAACCAGATGCCGGTTCTCCCTGAGGACAGGGGAGGGCTGAGCATGCCAAGCCCAGGGGCCAATCAGAAAGCAGAGGCCTGGGGTGCCTGGGTGGCTCAGTGGGCTAAAGCCTCTGCCTTTGGCTCAGGTCATGATCCCAGGGTTCTGGGATCGAGCCCCGCATCGGGCTCTCTGCTCGGCACGGAGCCTGCTTCCTCCTCTCTCTCTCCCTGCCTCTCTACCTTACTTGTGACCTCTGTCAAATAAATAAATAGAAATCTTAAAAAAAAAAAAGGAAAAGAAAATTAAAAAAGCAGAGGCCTGCACCTTTCAAACCTCCCTCTTATTTCGGGGGGGAGGGTGGTGGTGGGCGGGGGCTGCCCCACCACACACCGCCGCAGGGCACAGGGATGGAGGGCCCGCCCTCACCGACCACCCCTCACCTTTCTTGCCATGATGAGTCCGGACGGTCTGTGCTGGACCTTGGTGACCACCCCGCCGTTCCCAGCTCCCAGCTCCGAGATCCGTTCAAAGTCATCATCCTTGAGCTCCCCGACCTTGGCCTTCTGGGTGAGGAAGGCTTCTAGTCGCTTCTTCTGCTGCTCATCCAGTTCTAGCTCTGCCAGCTTCTTCTGGAGGTCCACCAAGTTTGCTCTGCAAAGACCCAAAGGGCAAGGGCCAGTGAAGACAGTGCAGGCTGTGGAAAGAGGACTGGACCCGGCCGAGCTCAGGGTGAGGCCGCGGAGTGCCAGGCCCCAGGTGCGTGGCTGCAAGGACACTGGGATGGATCAGACACCAGCCCCTCCCTCAGGACCGGCTCTGGCTCACTGGTGCTAGTCTCAGACCCAGGAGCTCCCGTTCCTGACACGAGGACTCTAGACCACGTGGGAAGGAGACGTGGGAACAGGGAGGGGATGGGCTGGTGAGGGAAGCCACGGGTCAGGTGAGGGAAGGCTCAGGCAGACACAGAGGAGGAAACTCGTTCTGAGCGGGGTCAGGGCCAAGAACAAGAACTGTGGGGCAGAAGACAGAAGTTGCAAGATGCCTGCCTTTAAAGTACACGAATGACACAGGGGCACTTGAGGGGAAACGGAGAGGGGCAGACAGCAAACAGTGCAGACATTTCCAGGGCGCGGCTGCCCAGCCAGCAGGCTCTTAGGACGTTACTGTAAACACGAAGCATTTATGTGCACAAACGTTCCTGCAGCCGGTCATTAAAAAACAACCGGGGCGCCTGGGTGACACAGTCGGTTAAGTGTCTAGTTCTTGATTTCGGCTCAGGTCATGATCTCGGGTCATGGGATGGAGCCCCACATCGGGCTCCATGCTCAGTGTGGCGTCTGCTTGGGGTTCTCTCCCTCCCCTGTGCTCTCTCAAATAAATAAATAAATCTTTAAAAAAAGAAAAAAAAGGAAAGGAAAAAAACCAACACCCCACCATATACACCCCTTTATTAGGTGATATGAGGAATTTCCCAAGGAATTTTGACTGAAAGCTATTCTCACGAATGCCTTGACTTTGACCCAAACCTGGAGTCAACAGCAGGTCCCTGTAACAGGTGGGCAGACATTAGCTCAACGCACCAAAGGACTAACCCAGTGCTGTCCCAAAGAAATAGAATAAAAGTCACGTGGGCAAATTTTTTTTTTTTTAACACATGTACAATTAAAATTTTTCTGGCTATGTTAAAAAATATCTATCAGGTGAAATTAGTTTTACCATATTCAATTTAACCCATCAAAAATACAAATTTCACGGGGCTCCTGGGTGGCTCAGTGGGTTAAAGCCTCTGCCTTTGGCTCAGGTAATGATCCCAGGGTCCTGGGATCAAGCCCCGCATGGGGCTCTCTGCTGGGCGGGGAGCCTGCTTCTTCCCTCTCTCTGCCTGCCTCTCTGCCTACTTGTGATCTCTGTCTCTATCAAATAAATAAATAAAATATTTTAAAAAATACAAATTTCAACATGAAATCAGTATAAACAAATTAATGAAAACTTATTTTTCCTTTTTCTTCATATAAAGCCTCTGGAATCTGGAAGACATATTATACATCCAGCTCCCCTGAATTCGGACCTGGGACATGTCAAATCCCGGTGGTGGCCTGGGGCTGACTGGACCAGAGAAGGTGGGCAGCTCAGAGAGTCTCTAAAGGTCCCGGGGTGATGCCCAGCCACCGATTTCTGAGGGTTTTTAAGAGGCTGACCCCCAACTTGGGGAAGACCTGCCAGGGGGATTAAAGCAGGGAATGAAGCGGGGGACTGGGGCTCTCTCAGGATACTTCCAAACCTCAGATTTGACCCTAACTGGGCTAGAACTTGGAGGCTGAGCAAAGGGGCACAGCTGGGAATGAGATGAGGGAAGTCATCGGAGCTGCTACATCGAGAAGCTGCTAGAAGGCAGGGGACTAGGTGCTACTTCCTGAACACACACCAGGGCTTACGAACACCACCCTGTTTCACTCTCAAGATTTTCCTGGGAGGTGGGTATCTTGTAGTCCCAGCCCACATAGGAGGGAACAGGCTCAGAGAGGTTAAGTAACCTGCCTGTGGGTCGCAATGCAGGGAAGTAGCAATGCCTGGAACCAAACCCGTGACCATCCTCACTGCCAAGCCCTGCTCATCACGGCACGGTGCTGAGCCGGGACCGAGGGCCTACCAGGCACTCCCTGAAAGCCTGGGTAACAGAGACCTGGTCGAGGAAGGGACAGAGGAGGGAAGGCAAAGGAATCAATGTACACGACAGGCTTCTTTCCTAAAGGGCTGAAGAGGTGGTTTTGAGACCAGACTCTGCAAAGTCGTCTTCACGGGACCCTGCGATCTGAACATGCGTCCTGGTAGTCAGCTGCTCCATCCACTTTCCATGCAATAGCAACCCAGCTGTGGCTACAAAGAAACCCTGGAATTCCAATGGCTGGCTTCCTCTGCAGGGGGCAGTTCTGGAAGGGGTGGAAATCAGAAGCAAGTAAAAGAAAGCGGAGAGAGAACGGAGAAGGCGCTCTCCTGCAAGAAGAGTAAGCAGCGGGCTTTTGAAAATAAGGACCCCGTCCCCATGTCGAGCTGCCTGCTCCGAGACAGAGAAAGAGGTCAAGTCGCACACGCAGGCATCAGACCCTCTTGCCCGGGCACAGGGGCCGGGTCCCCTGAGTGGGGCCACACACGATGCTCCCCCATCGCGCCTGGTTCTCAGGGGGTCACGCCACACCCACAGCAAACAGACCCCAGCCCGGGGCCTCTGCAACCATCCTGCTCCTCTTTACTGTGAGGGACAGTGGGGAGATCCCAGGGACGTCTATGGCCAAGGGATCACCCTCGCTTGACCTCGCAAGTGTGTGCCCCTCCCACAGTAGGATTCCCCTACTCAAGACCCCACTGTCCCAGATGCTCCTTTCTGTCCCTTCCCCCAAAGTCCTCCTCTCTGCTTCCGTGCCTGCCTGCGGCTCCATCCTTGTCCTCCTCCCTGCCAGGATCCTGCAGCTGACCTCACCGCTCAGGGGCCTCGCCTGCCCCTGTGTCCTTAGAGACCCTCAACTAGTCTTCTCCCTAGGGGGTCCTGGCTCATCCTAGCCCTCTACCGCCCTTCCCCTCCAGGGACCCTTCCCCCCACTCTTTGGTATGCAAGCCCCCCCAATTTCACTACTGGGGCCCCATACCCCATCTTCTTCCTCAGGGACCTCCCCCTGGCTTCATTCTCCACTGAGACTCCTCCCCCCCCTCCTCTCCGGGCAGGAGCCCTCCCTCAACTCCATTTCCCTCCTCCAGAACCCCCACCCCGTCCTCTTCTCCCAGAGACCCTCTCCCCAGAACACACGACTGGGACCCCCTCTCCTGACTCAATCCTCAGGGTCCCGCACCCCGTCCTCTCCATTCAGTGACCCCCCTGCCCCAGTCTTACTAACCAGGACCCCCTTCCCCTCAACCTCACTACCGAGAGCGCGGCACCCCATCCTCTTCGCCAAGGGACCCGCTGCCCCGACCTCACTACTCAGGGCCCGCACCCCATCCTCTCCACTCAGGGAACGCCCGACCCACCTTTTCCTCTCAGGTCCCCCCTCCTACCCACCTCACTACTCAGGCACCCCCGCCCCTTCCCCACCCCGGCCAAGCCCGGCCCACTCACTCGGAGGCGCCCTCGCTGGTGGGGGACGGGCCCTCGGCGATGGCGGGGTTGATAGTGAGCGCCGGCAGCACCGGCTTCCTCCGGGCCAGCATCGGTGCTCCGCGGGCCGGCGGCGGCGGCACCTCTAGCCGGGGCCCATAGGGGGCGGGCCGGGAGCGGGCGGCGCCGACGCGAGCCCGGGGCTGCGGCCGCGGCCTAGGCGGGCGCCGGGGCGGCGAGTGACGGCGTCGCTGCGGACCCGGGCCGAGGGGCGCCGACGGGCACCGGGGCTGAGGCCGAGAAGCCGCCGCCGCAGAAGAGGCCCTTCCGAAGCTGACGCTGCAGCCCGAGCCCGGGAAGCAGAGGGCAGGGAGGGGGAGCGACGAAATCGCGCGCCGGCCTCTCGCGAGAGCCAGCGCCGGGAGCCGCGAGGCCCCGCCCCTCACCGCGGTGCGTGCGCACCAGCCGGAGGCCGCCTTCCAGTGGTGGGGCGGGGGAAAGGGGCGGAGATCTACCGAGACGCCGCCAGGAGCGTGCACCCTTGCTCGCTTCCTTCAGCTGGTTTGCGCATGCGCCTGAAGCTCTGGGCGGAGGCGCGAAGGAGGCGGAGCCGGCGGGAGGCGCCTTGGGAGCTGATGAGAGTGGGCAGGTGCGCGGTTTCGAGGCCAGACCCCCGTGAACCCTGTGGGTGCCGACTGGGGCTGCGTGAGCCATTAAGATCCCCAAAACGTGTGGGAGACCACTCAGAGTCCATTGCAGTCTTTTTGTCGTTTATGGACACACAGTCCCCGGAAAGAAAGCTCATTTCCAAACTTTATTTTTAAGTCGTGCTAAATACATATGGCCTAAAATTTACCACTTAATGTTCAGAGTGCACAGCTCGGTGGCATGAAGCACGCTCGCTCGTCCTGCGACCACCCCACCCGCCGTCTCCGGAACTTCCATCTCCCCAAACGGAGGCGCTGTCCCCGCCAAGCACGGACTCTCCAGCCCTTGCCCCAGCCCCGGCCCCACCAGGGCTCCACTCTGCCTGGGTGGACGGGACTCCTCTGGGGACCTCAGATAATTGGAGTCATATTGTTACACAAGAACAGGCCCCAAATGGATTGACTCATGTTAAGCCCCAGGTCAGCAAAGCAAGTTTGAGACCGAACCTAACTGTGGTTTTGAGCTTTCCCAAGAGTGGGACCTTTAACTAGCCAATCTGGAATTCCTTGGTCCTCCCTATCGAGGCCATCTGCCTGACAGACCCCCGAAGGAAGGAGAATCCTGCCTGAAACAATCCACTCTTTGCTACAAACTTCTTTATGCTGCTTGCTTCTGCCTATAAAAACCTTTCCATTTGTACAGCTTCTCAGCGTTCCAGAGATGGGATGCTGCTCATTTTTATTAATCATTAAATAGAGCCAATTTGAACGTACATTTACCTAGTTGAATTTTGTTTTGTTTTTGTTTTTTTTTTTTAAGATTTCATTTATTTATTTGACAGCCAGAGATCACAAGTAGGCAGAGAGGCAGGCAGAGAGAGAAGAGGAAGCAGGCTCCCCGCTGAGCAGAGAGCCCGATTGGGGGCTTGATCCCAGGACCCTGAGATCATGACATGAGCCGAAAGCAGAGGCTTAACCCACTGAGCCATCCACGCACCCCTTGTTTGTTTGTTTGTTTGTTTGTTTTAACAGTATTTGTTCTTTTGGGTCTGCCTGATTTCCCCAAGCATCGCGTCCTCAAGCTTCCTCCACGTTTTAGCAGGTGTCAGAATTTACTTCTTTTTTAAGGCCGAATCATATTTTATTGTGTGGATGGACCCCATTTTGTTTAGCCTGTCATCCATTGGTGGGTGTTTGAGTTTTTTATCTTCTGGACGTTACTCATTGTTGCTGTGAACACGGTGCAAAATATCTGTTTGAAACCTGCTTTTATTTTTTATTTTATTTTATTTAAAAAAAATTTAATAATTTTTTTAAAAGATTTTATTTATTTATTTGTCAGACAGAGATCACAAGTAGGCAGAGAGGCAGGCAGAGAGAGAGGGAAGCAGGCTCCCTGCTGAACAGGGAGGCTGATGCGGGGCCCGATCCCAGGACCCTGAGATCATGACCTGAGCCGAAGGCAGAGGCTTAACCCACTGAGCCACCCAGGCGCCCCGATGTGACGCATTTTAAAGTGTAATTTGCATTATTAATTTTTCTCCATCACACTTTTATTATCATTATTACTTTTATTATTATTTAAAGATTTTATTTATTTCAGAGAGAGAGAGAGAACACAAACGGGGCGTAGCAGGCAGAGGGAGAAGTAGGCTTCCTTAGTGAGCAGGGAGCCCGATGTGGGACTCGATCCTAGGCCCTTGAGATCATGACCTGAGTTGAGCTGAAGGCAGAGGCTTAACATACTGAGCCACCCAGGCGCCCCCTGCTTTTAATTCTTTGGGGTATCTCTCCACTCAGAAGTGGAATCGCTGGGTCGTATGCTAATTCTATGTCTAATTTTTTGAAGAATCATCATACCGGTTCCCACGGCAGCTTTGCCATCTTACAAGAAAGGACACTTTAACACCAATTTAAAAAAATAATAATAAAAGGAGGAAGTGTATGGCACAGAATAAAGAACAGTCATGGATAAGGGAAAAAAGTTGACTTCGCAAAAATCTCACCAACCACACTCCGCTTCTTTTTGTCCCATCCCCGAGCACCAGCATATAGCATGGCGCAGAGCACCTTTGGGAACCACACACAAAGAAACAAAGAGGGAAAGGGCTTATCAATGCCCTCTGCCAGGGGCCAGCCCAGGTCCCTCCGTCACCCTGACTCAGTCCTGTCCCCTTCCTGTCCAGCTGCCTTTCAGTCATTCTTTTTTTTTTTAATCTTTTTTTTTAGGAATCTTTTTTTAAAGATTTTATTTATTTATTTGACAGAGATCACAAGTAGGCAGAGAGGCAGGCAGAGAGAGAGAGGGAAGCAGGCTCCCTGCTGAGCAGGGAGCCCGATGCAGGGCCCGATCCTAGAACCCTGGGATCATGACCTGAGCCGAAGGCAGAGGCTTTAACCCACTGAGCCACCCAGGTGCCCCTCAGTCATTCTTTTGAAGGTTGGGTTGCCTAGCTCTTTATGTGACAGATACTGTGCTGGGCACTAGAAATACAATGCTTAAAAAGTAGATACATGATAAATATATGCATAATTGCAAAATGTAACAATGATCCAAAGTGCCATGTTACTATGGTTCTCCCCGATTAAACTGGTATGCATGCGTGCTTCTCCATCTCTAGAAGATGAGCCTTTTTGGTTTTTCCTCCCACTGCTCCCACCCACTCACAGAAAGTTAGGGAGAAGGCTTATCTGCCTTCAAATAATGCCAGAACCTTCCCCAGCTCTGCGTGTTTTTCTACCTTCCCTCTGTTCCGCAAAGTGATCTCTCCATCACTGTATTTTATTTTAGGCTCCACATACATATAGTCTTTTTATGGAGCTGTAACATCCATATAATAAACCCACAGGGGGCACCTGGGTGGCTCAGTGGGTTAAGCTTCTGCCTTAGGCTCAGGTCATGATCTCAGGGTCCTGGGATCGAGCCCCGCATCGGGTTCTCTGCTCAGCAGGGAGGCTGCTTCCTCCTCTCTCTCTGCCTGCCTCTCTGCCTACTTGTGATCTCTGTCTGTCAAATAAATAAATAAAATCTTTTTAAAAAATCATTAATAAACCCACAGTTCTTGGCTATTCCATTCCTTGAGCTTTGACAATTGTATATGCCCATGTAAGCACATCCATGTACCAAACAAGATGCAGAGCCCATCCATCACCCCAGAAAGTGTCCTCCGTACCCTTTTCAGTAAATTACCCTCACTCCTATCAGCGGTCGTGTGCTAGTAAATGTTTAACAATGTGTTTTTTATTTTATTTTATTTATTTATTTGACAGACAGAGATCACAAGTAGGCAGAGAGGCCGGCAGGGGTGGGTGGGTGGGGGAGCAGTCTCCCTGCTTAGCAGAGAGCCCAATGAGGGGCTCGATCCCAGGACCCCGGGATCATGACCTGAGCCGAAGGCAGAGGCTTCAACCCACTGAGCCACCCAGGCGCCCCTAACAATGGGTTTTGAAATGAGAGATGGATTGGCGGAGAGATGAAAAAGAGAGAGAGAGGGAGGGAGGGGGAGAGAGAGAGAGACAGGCTGATTTGGAAAGAATGGTAGCGACCGGTGCTAGTGAGGCAGGACAGGCCGCTGCACACCACTACCCTATAGATAGCCTAGAGTCTGATTTCTATCCCCATAGATTAGTTCTCTGTGTTCTAGAACTTTATGGAAATGTACAGTAGGTACTCTTTGGCATCTGACTTCTTTGGACCTGCACGATGCTTTGCCATCCATCCACGTGGTTGCATCTAACCGTGATGGGCTCTGTTGCCTCGCTCCGGGATATGTGTCCTCTGGGGATTGCCCTTTCCTCTTCATTGAGGAGGATGAAGCGATCACATCTTTTCTAATGTTCAGAATTGTTGGTTTCCACTAGTTCAGACTTGAGGGCTCAGCCCCCAAGCCCCCTTTTCCATAAACTCTATAAGTATAAATTATGGATTCTGCCAGTGGCCTCTGGCCCCCTCCTTCTGGAATTTCTGATATACCCTGCCTGTTTCCGGCTTTTAGCTCTTGTCTTCCAACCCACCATAGTGCTCTTGGATTATGTCCTCCCCACTAGTGATGAACGTTCTGAGGGCAAAGAGGTTCTTGGGTCTGTGTCTTTCTCCTCAAGCCCTGCTCCTTGGAGATAACTAAAGCTTCCTACACATATGCTGGTTGAATGAATGTAATGGCTGTTGCCGTCCGGAGGGGGACAAGTTTCCTGCTAGTCACGTGATTCTCAGCACTTGATAGAGACCAATTTATTGTTGAGATAACAGTGTGGATTCGTGCCCTCTACCCTCTTCCCTATCTCTGCTAGCAAGCACATTCTGCTCTGAAGCCTCTCCCTGCTACCTATCTCTGTAGTTATCATTGATTCTAATCACAGCTCTCTTCGAACTTCTGTTCCCTGGTCCCAGAAACTTGGGTGTCTCCTGAATCTGTCCCCCAGCCCAGGAAATAAATTTCTAATAGCTTTGTTGATAGATTCAATCCAACGTGACATTTATCTCTTATTTATGCACAATCCCATATTAATAAAGCATGTGTACACTCTTCTATCTCGAAATGCACCCTGAACGTTATCTTTCTCACCTGTACAACGGATTAACAAAAACAATGTGGAAAGCAGTTTAGTACCATCTAGATAGAACACATACAATCCAGCAATTCTACTCTTAGGCATCTAAC